ATGTCAAACACACACCAGGACAAGGCATTTTTCTCCCTGCAAACAGCTCAATTCAATTAAATACATTTTGTGATGCGGATTGGGCTCGATGTCGTGATACTCGATGATCCACCACTTGATATTGTATTTTCCTGGGAAAGTCATTAGTGTCTTGGAAAACCAAGAAACAGACCACCGTGTTAGGGTCAAGCACTGAAGCTGAATACCGGTCTATGGCTAGAACATGTTGCGAGATCACATGGTTGAAATACATTTTGGGAGACTTGGGCATTCTACATTCAAATCCTGTTAAATTGTTTTGTGACAATCAAGCAGCACTCCACATTGCTTCAAACCCAATGTTCCATAAGCGAACTAAACACATAGAGATTGACTGCCACTTGATACGAGAAAAGGTTCAAGGTGCAATAATTGAAACAGCTCACATACGCACATCACAACAGCCAGCTGATATCTTCACTATGTCATTGAGTCTTCTCCAGTTCACAGCTTTACTTGGCAAGCTGGGAATCATTAACATACATTCCAACTTGATGGGGAGTGTTAAGGAAAGTAAAGCCTATTAAGGCTTATTTAACGTGATATGATATCGATCTGATATCAATCACCTAGACTGATTCCTTTCCTTTCATATAGAGGTATAAAATAAGGATAAACTTCTATAGGCATAATTGTAGGATATTAATTGATCATTGTATATGTATAAAGACCTTTGTATTGAATTATTAAATATCAATGAATTCATACATAATTATTGAATTCTTTACAGATTCTAAAGAATTTAAAAAGGTTGAGGATTTTGAGAGAATTAAAGAGATTTCAGAGTGTATTTTAAACATTACAAATCTCACATATCCCTTTCAAAATTTGAAGGAATTGAATCAAAATTTACATAAAATCTTTACAAACCAACTAAACTCCATCAAAATCCATATTTTTTTAATTCCATCAAAATCCATGAATTTTAAAATTCATCAAAATCCATTAATTTTAAAATTCCTCAAAATCTCTCAAATATAAGAGAAAACCATTCTCGAAAAGCGTGACCATCCCGTTGAACCTCGTTACCCTCCCAAGTGGTTATGGTGGTGCATCCGCTGCCCTATCTCCGTAAAGATATTATGATGATTAACTACAAAGTGGCACACATCATCAGTCGTTACTTTTAGTGGCTAAGCGACACATATAATGCCCTAATCAAGGAGAAATTTTTCTGGGTTCTGGGAACACTAGCTGAGTTGGTGTTCCTAATGAATAAAGCCTTGATACATGTTTATTTTATTTTATTCAAGCTAAAAATTGCCAACTAGATTCTTTTTGAACTAAAGCTTCCTAATTTACTGACACACCCCAACCTAAATCAGGGCATGTTGGCCGTCACGTGGGAGTGACGTAACCATGTGCACAGTATGAAAGCAATAAAGATATAAGGGAATTGCGAAGGAATAAAAACCAAACTACTAGCAGAACTAGTTAAGATAGGGTGTTAGTGCGAGATTAAACGTGAAATACACAACCAGTGCATAAATATCCTAAGTGCAATCAAGCATGACAAGTACTAATTATACAACACCCGAGGGTGATCCTACATTTATGATGCTTTGTTAGAACCCCCGTCGAAATCCTCGTGATCCACCAAGCACTTCTACCTAAAACCTAGAGGGGCGCAAAACAGAAAGTGTGAGTGGGCAAAAACAAAGCTTTTCAAAATCATTTCATTTCTCAAAAGTTCTAACTCCTCGCCATAAAACCTGTATAACTTCCCAGAAAATAATAATAATAATCTGAATCAGAAATCATACTCAAGATGAAAATTCATAAAAGTATACCATGCCATGCAATGCTATAGGTAAACCAGGCAAAATATATCAATGTCGAATATTGCATCAGCCAAATCTCTTTAACTCAAACTGCAATGCTGAATATATAGATCATAACCAATCTCAATCATATCAAATTAAATCCTGCACACGAGTCAGAACCACCTAAAGTGGTCTGTATGACAAGACTAGGTGTAAAGTAAATATGCTCTAGTGCTACAATCATGTGAAGGCTATGCGAATAATCACGGGTCACTTACGAGTCGAAACCACCTAAAGTGGTCTGTACGACAAGATTGTGTACCTAACTTGGATCTAGGGTAAGCATACGGTGCGGGAGGTGAACATCAAGTGAAGGACTGTGCCCCAACTCTGGGCGGGAGCACTAACACTAGGTGCAAGTTTATGAGCTCTCATCACATCACATCATAACTCACATAACTGAAGTAATCTCACATCTTTAATTTATGAACTTACCTAGCACTTACTTGTGCGTCCGCAGCACCAATCATAATTATATGCAACTACTAATGCATAAATAAAATAGGTAGATACTTTGCATGGCATTTCAAAACGTATAATCATTCAAATTCATTTTCTGGGAAAAATCTCAAGTATATAGGTATATACGGAAAACCAAAAGCCCACTCACTGATATGTCGAAGGGTCGTAGCCCTCGAGCCTTGATGGATGGTGCTCGTCCTCAGGATAGGTCTCACCTATATGCGAAATAACTGAATAAACGTTATTTAAAACACATACATAAAACTAGGAATTAACTTCTCATACAATGCTCAAATGGGGCATTTAAATATACCATGACCTACTCAACCTCAGGAACATCCCCATATTTTTAGAAAAAAAATTCTGATGCCCCACGCGCCACCACGCCTCGGCAAGGGAACGCCCAGACGCGCCCCCACCCGCGGCCATGTGCCTGGCACGGCTAACAGAATCTTTAACAGTGTTAGGGAATATTCCATCAAAAAGCAGTATATTCCGTTAAGACTAATCTGATGCCATCAGAATATTCTGTCAAACTTGACAGAATATTCCATCGTCTTCAACCTTTGAACTCCAATGACCTACGCCATTGCCAAAAAACTGAAAAACTTCAAATCGTCATTTCCCGCTCATTTCTCAACCAAATTTCATGAAATTTGTACCAAAATGAAGCTTAGGATGAGAGGAACAAAACTTTACCACTTTCAAGCCTTGAAATCCACGGGATTTCGCCGGAGGAACCTCGATAATCCGGCCAAACTTGAAACTCGCCAAACTCGACTTCCCGATGTCCAATTCACTTCATTTTTCTTCTCCGAGCTTCGTGAAGATGTCCTAAAGCTCACTAGTAGCTTTAAATCCCTTAACAACTTTGATAACACGAGTGCATGAACAGTGACCCAAAACTGGGTTCTCGGGTTCTTGGGAAAATGAGGTTTTTACGTTCTAAAAATAGTATAGATGAGTGCGTGACGATGAGATGAAGATGATGATGCTAACCACGAGCTCGATCCGTACGTGAAATGGAGGGTTCAAGGTTTGTCCAGACAATTGTACGGACATGGAAGAAAATGCGAGAGGGAGGAGAGAGAGTCAACGAGATAAGGGGAGGGTATGTGTGTATGGTCCAGTTTGCAGTCAACCAACCAAAATCTTAAGTCTTTAGTTCTAATTAGGTCAAAATAATAAGGGATAGAACCTATTGGTCCAAAACGTTAGTTAATACACACACACACACACAACTCAATAATAACAAGGGTATAATAGAAATTCCCACGCTCTCGAGGATAAATAATATATACGTTCGGGACGGGCTGTCACATTTACCCCTAACCTACTGTGAAAGAAAATACAGAAAATCCACCGCCAACCCCCACCATGCAATTGACGCTGAGCTCCCATCACAGAGCGACCATCCATCTCCATTGCCGGTCGGTGATTTCACCGGAGACTTTATCTTACTATTCTATCTCCTCTCCCCTCTATTTATCCCACTCTTACTTCGACATCAACCCGAGGAATGGTCGGCGACAACTCAAGAGCTGGTGAGTTCACCAACTCACCATGTTTCCTTTTGTCATTCCCCGGCTAAAGGAGAGGAGGAGAAAGAAAAAGTGGAAGAGAGAGACAAGGTGAGAGAGAGAAAGGTGAGGAAGAAAGAAGGGAGGTGGGTTGGGGCAAGGGGTGTGGCGGCGGAAATGGTGGAGTGTGAAGAGAAATATGGGATATTTTTTTTTTATGTTTTTGTATTTCTTTAATCTAATTCTGTTTTGAGAAATGAAACAATGAATATTAAGGATAATAAAGGAAGTTCATTAACAAATGCATCGATTAAATTTTCTATAAACCGAAATGCATTAACTCAAGGGAGTGTTGTTTTGCCACACGTCAAATGCTGAAAAGTGGTGAATATATGTCCAGTAATTATTTGTGGAGAACACCAGCTTAGCTAGTATTCTTGGAAAATGGAAAAATTTCTACTAATCAAGCCTTCTAGTTAACTTTTAGTGAAAAAAGGAAAGGAAAAAATAATTTAAATAAAAAAGAAATTGAAATGGACTCTTGCTTTTGTCCCTTGACTCAAATTCAGATAAGGCCGCAGTTGCCATATATAGCAAAAATCTAAGGAACCCACTCCCTCACTTTCCTTTTTGAATTTACCGCCGTAACTTTTTTATTTTCTTTTTGAGGGATTTTTTCTTGTAAATTAACATACACTGTATATCTTTAAAAGGAAAGCAATTTATACAACACAGATACTGACACACACAGAAAATCATACTGTTTTGTACTAAAAATAGAAAATGCAAAAAAACACGTATACACTCATTATTATAAATTAATATAAAATGCTAAAATAACAATATACTCATGACATATAAATTATTTTTTTACAAAATACTTAACTTAAAATATGTGCTTTTTTTTACACATAATCATTATTATTAATATAAAACGCTACAATAACAAGATACTTATGTCATATAAATAATTCTATTATCAAAATGTTTGGCTTTAAAACATGTGTTTTTCTTACGCATGTGAGTATCAAAGATGTGGACCGTATGCCATAACAAGTTTATGCCGCCCTTACTATGAACTGAATAGATAACTACTAAACTCATCAGGCAGTGCTGTTGGCATGCACTGCGTCAACGTGGCAGCCCCTGAACCTCATACCTAGAATCTGAGCAAATGCCAAGGGAAGTAGCCTCCATGTAAACTCTGCTTCTTGAAGGACTCCTGGCACGCACTTTCTAGCTGCAACTGCAACCCCTTCTCTCTCCTCCCTCTCCTCTCTCTCTCTCTCTGTGTCAGCATTTACTTGAAACTCGAACTCTTGTTCATTTTCTCTCTTCTTCTTCTCTCTCTCTCTCTCTCTCTCTCTCTCTCTCTCTCTCTCGGTGTTTATTTGAGAAGAATCAATGGAGTCAAAGGACAAGAGGTACACGGGTCTTCACAATAAATACTTTTTCTATAATGGGTATTTCTCAAATTCAAATTGTTGCCTTTTTATGCTGCTTCAATTCTTTAACCCCAAGTTGTTATTTTTGCAATTTTCTGATCACATATGATATTGTATATTGGAACTTGGTATTTTCCTTTTTTTATTTATATATTCATGTTTGATTTGTCTAAGTTAACGGATGAAACGTTGAGATTATTATTTTCTAAAATTGCTAATTAGAAACTATTGAACTTCTTTTGGAGTTTTTTTCCTGAAAGATGAAGAAGTCTGTTCAATTTGTATTGTCCAAAATTTTATCTCAATCTTTACTTATATTTTCAGATAATATGAGCCTAGAAAAATTGGTCCTGAGAACAATAGGGTAGTTGACCACAGAAAGAAGATAAAAGGAGGGTTTTTTTTTTCTTTCTCTTTGGCATAAAATTTTATTCTTGCAATGCATGATGTTTAAAACCTGATAAAGTTAAATCCCGTTTATATTGAATGGTTTCACTATCTATTGAATTGTACTTGTGGTTAAGTTGGGGACAATATTAATGTTGTTTAGGTGTGGGCCGTTAGACGGACTATAAACCTTTGGCACTTCATTATGCTCATGCATCAAGATCGCTGTTGGTGGTGTACAATTTTAGTATCTGAACTTTTTTAAGTCTGGCTACTTAAATTATCAATCCCGAATGAACTTCTCAGTATAATTCTCAAATTTTTGCACAATACTAAATCATGGCGCGTTTTCATTTTACACCGTATGTTTCCCATGGCTCTTACCTGCACTGTGATAAATTTGCTAGCTTTATATACATTGTTAGTCCATTCCCTAACAGTTTAAGCTTTTGGGGTACAATGTCTAACATGGTATTGAAGCTATGGTTTTCAGGAGGTCTTGGGTTCAAAAACTCCAGTTGTCATTCCCCACTTCTTTGTCGGTTTACACAGTAGAGGGTGGGGATGCACCTATATGTTTCTCTCTGTCTGTATTTCTCTGCCTCTCCTCCACGTGCAGGATAAGGCTACATGTGAGGGAGGGTGTTAGCTTGATTTACGCTGTAGGTCAATTCCGTTTACAGCTTAAGCTTTTCAAGTTCAGTGTTGTCTAACAGTATTTTGTTAATTTAATTCAAATAACAGAAGAATCTAATCAAGTACCTCAAAAACTCTATATATCAATGAAGTTTTGAAACCTGATTGAAGATGGTATTAATATCACAGGTAATAGAATTCTATGGATTTCAAGTGCCAACCCCTCTGATTTGCGGTTAAATATCCTCGTTGCTGAGCCAGCTGAATGTGTAGGTTGCATCTATCTCATAGCAAAGGATTCATAGTTGATATAATGTGACCGATGCACCTTGTGATGTGCTACTTTCTTTTCTCCCAGTTGGTTTGTTGTATCCTCCCAAAAAAAAAAATTATAGTTACTTTCTCATGATAGGGTGCCTTCTTTTCACTGGGCATTAGATTTTCAAACCCCTTCGTTGGATAATTATTGTCCCCACAGTTTTCAAAATAGAAGATAAGGGGGACTCATCACAAATCTTTTATTAAAAAGCCTTCAATGGAAAGTGAGTGTTATCTTTCTTGTAGGAACAATTTGCATGTTCGTCATGCAGAAAATGGATGCAGACAATGAGAACATAGAGCCTGTGACTGATTTGGGGCTATCTCTGGGATATTTGAATCAATGCATTCGGAGAAAATTGAACGGTGATTCAGGTGCAGGTGCAAATGCAGGTTCAAGGATACACAGGGCATTCGTGGCTCCTGAGCCCCTGTCAGAATTAGTTTGGGATACAGATAAAGGTTGTGTCTAAAATGAGCTGATTCTGTCTTTTCAAACAGAAAATCTTACTTTTCTTAGGTTGCAGGACCAAGTAATGTCACTCTTTCACCGCCACAAAGCAATATAGGCAGGAGGTCTGCTACTGACAGGCTTACTGATGACGTGGACTTTCTAACAGCACAGACAACAGTTCATCTAACGAGAGAAGTTGCAAGTAAAGAAATGACTATGTCTCCCACAAGCGATGCTGGCGTCATGCCAATATGCAGGTCAAGCCATGAGACGGGTGAGGCCTTATTCTTGCAACTTTGATAGTTAAGTATAAAATGAAGAGTCTTTGAGTTGTAGGACAATGAATTTGTAGTATAGGTTTGTTATGTTGTTTATTTATTTCCTGAGAAAATTGTTGCCGGAATTGTTGAGGATCTCCTCTTTGCAGGAAATGATAGTAATGTGGAGGAAGTGAAAGCGGCTGTGGAAGTATCTGTTCCACGTAACCAGGAGGGCCATTGCAGTCAAGCCAATGTTGAAGTACATGAAATACCTCAAATATCCGAGACCAGAGAAAATTTCATTACAAGATTGTCAGGTGAATCCTGCTATTCACGTTTTCAGTGTTGCACATTTAATTCGGTAGATGAAATTTAGAAATCTCCCTGCAGCTTATGCTCAAAATACAGTAAAATTGTTCTGAGGGCTGTTTTTCGAGTATATGTTGCCTTGCTAACAACTGACTTTTTTCTTCTTTTTGCATTACAACAAGTTATTGATTTGGTTGTACTCACACAGGTAACGGTGACAGAGAAGGGGCTGATATCTTATTTGTCGAATCAGATCAGAAGATACCTTTTATGGAACAAACTGAACCATTATTGGAGGATTCTGTTGGTCAGGACAGACGTGCTGATGTTGGGGATCAGAAAATGCAACTTGTCTTGACCTCCGAAGTTCACCCAGTGAACGAAAGTCAAGCTTCGGATGCTCCAGCGATGAATAAAAAGGTACAAGGCAGTAGGCCGTTGGATATACTGGAGGCAACAGCTGAGAATGATTTAATGAACCTCAAAGATGAACATGCTTATGCTGCAGCAAGTCAGTTTTTAGGATCAGAATCTTCCCCAGGGGTTAAGGACAGGTTCGAACAAGGTCAGGAGATGCTTCCTGGAAACGAATCTGTTCTTGACAAACACTCTCCTACTAACAGCAGCATCCATATGAGTCGAAGGAAAGGCAAAGAAAAAGCGTTATCTGATGGAGATCTTAATGGAAGAATGACAAAAGATAAGGATGATAGCCATGAAAGTGTTGAGAGCTGTAATAGTGCAGGATTGTTTTCGTCGGGCAAGAAGAGGTGGAACTCCGAAGAAGAGTTCATTGTCGGGAGTAAAAGATTCAGAAAGCAAATTCTAGAAACTCCGATCTGCACATCCTCTATTAGACAAGATAGCTCCTTCATGGTTTGGATATCAAGCATGGTGAAAGGGTTTTCAAAATCAATGCAAGATGAGGCACCGCCTCTTGCACTTACCCTTGCACATCCTAATCGTGGAGATGAGAATCCTGATAATAAACTTATCACATGCAATTTGAACCAAGGTGATGCAGTAAAAAGTATTGGTTTCCAGACGATTTTTCAGTCCTTGTATTGCCCAACTGCAGAGCGCCAAGAAGCACAGATATTGAGTAACAATCATAAAATAGGAGATATATCAACTGAGCTTGAGCCAGCTACTTCTCCAAAAGTCTGTCATGTGGAGAATATTAATTTAGGCAGAGGATTTATGCTGCCAGTTGAAAAGTTCAACAAATCTTCATCAGGAAATGAAGTGCGTTCAGCAGGCAGTCAGGGGAAAGGCCATACTGGCTCCGAGGAGAACAAGAATCCATGCAACTTTCCGTTTTATAAACGGAAAGATAGAGTTAGCCCTAATTCTTCTCTGGGTAAACTCAAGAAAAGGAGGGTCGAGAATGTTGAATCTAACTCACAATTTAAAGGGAAGACGACTGATGAATTTGGTTATAGAAGGGACCTGATGGGAAGCTTGTGGATAACTCGGTTCACTCCAAAAACACCCGGTCTCGCAGATCATTACAACAAGAGTGCTGATGGAGTTCTTGGGTGCTCCAACGACCACAAACATGTGGGGGACAAGGAACAGTCTGCTGGTGATTTAGTTATTGTCATTGGTAACAATATGCAAAACTGTGCAGCTGACAATGAGGGCTCATCTGCTTTCAATAGAAATAAAGGTCAGAATGGTCAAGCGTCCATGTCCGAATTCAGCCCTATCTTACCTTCCTCTGAAGTCAGAAGTTCGGAAGTGGCTTCTATTTTTGCTAGGAGATTGGATGCCCTTAAGAACATCACCCCATCCAATGCATCAGGTAATGCTTCCGATGAAATCATGATGTGTTTGTTTTGTGGCATAAAAGGTCACCATTTACAAGAGTGTTCACAGATAAGAGACAGAGATTCAGGAATTATTAAGTAATATTAAGTCCTATAATGGAGCATAAAATCTGCCTTATTGCATTAGGTGTTTACAACACAGTCATTGGGCGGTTGCATGACCATGCACCCCCAACGGGACCACCTCAAATTGAATGTAACGTTTCTTGTTTAGATTATTACTGCAGTCAGAGTGAAACGAAGCTGAATTCAAGAATTGATGGAGATATGAAGCTCCTAACTGGTAAGGAGAGTCAGTTCGAAGCTTCTGTTGCTCATACATGTTTTAATGAGGACACTTCAAGAATGGAGACAGGTATCAATATGAGCTGGAATGCTAATGATACGAGAGCCTCTAAGAAAATAGCATATCGTTCAAATTCAGTTATGAAAAACAGTGCTTCAAGCTCTGTGGAAAATAAGTTGAAAGAAAATCAGATCATGCCCTCGTCACAGTTTGTCAATACGCAGATTCCAAATATACCGAAAGGAATCATCGACTCTGTGAAAAGGCTTCGCTTGTCTCGCACCGATGTTCAGAAGTAAGTTGAGCATACCAACTAGCCTCTCAGTAGTAATTTTTATTTTCTTGTCAAATAGTTTAAGAACAAATTTTCTTGAATATACTGTAGATATCAACATAGCATGCAAACTAGGTATGTTTATATAAATCTTGAATTGGATATTCTCGTACGATCACGAAGCATAAAAAAATCTGACCAAGAGTCAAATACAGATAACTCGGTACAACTAAAAGGAATATTTAATTTGCTTTATCCTCGTGTAACTTGTTCTTATGTGTAATTTGTATTTTTCCGGAATTAGATGGATGGATTCCCGCATGTCACTCTCGCAACTCGAGGGGTTTTTCCTCCGCCTGCGGCTTGGGAAGTGGGAAGAAGGACTTGGGGGAAGTGGATACTATGTGTCTTGCATAACTGGTATGACCAGAATTAAACCATGCTTGTTTATTAACTTTACCTAAAAACTTCTTTTGATAACTAAGTTGATGTTTCTCCTGAGTTCTTTTTTGTTCATTTTTATTTCCGTTGTCCACAGGTTCTCAGAAAGAGAGTTGTCCACAGAATGTGAAAGACTCGATAGCTGTTATTGTTGGTGGGATAAGATGTATGGTTAAGAGCAAGCATGTATCCAACAACGATTTCCACGAGGTAATTATAATCTGACTTGCTAACGAGTTACGACTTTATTCAACTGTGTGTGTGATGCATTCCCACTATTAGGGTTTCTATTTTGGGTTGTCCGTATAGCCCTTAGTAGTGCTAGGACTATATGGTTTATGAGATTGTGTCACTTTCTTTTGGACTTCTAACTTATGCCCTACTCTACAACAATTAACTAGGGTTTTGTCATAACAAGATCACTATCATCGATTCACCACGTAAAGATGTTAGAAACTTTCTTGTCACCGATGTTCTATTTTCTTGCTGATTTCACCTCCTCATATATCGCAGGACGAGCTGAGGGCATGGTGGTCTGCTACCTCAAAGAGCAGTGGCAAGATTCCGTGTGAAGAAGATTTGAGAGAAAAGGTAAAGAGAAAACGAATGTTAGGCTTGTAGTTTTTTCGGTATTTATAAATTTTGACTTGGTTTGAACTTTCTCTTGCAAAATGAAGAGTGATAAGATCTGCCGGAAGTCTTCTGTACATAGTTATTCTGAAATTTTTACCTTTGATATTTTTTTATGTACATGAAGAGCACTCTGCAGTTTAAACTATGAATGGTATTCTACTGAAATTATAAGAGTTTAAGGATCCTTTTGGCTATGTCAATCATTGTCGCTATACTGTCGGCACTGATCTGTGTGGATACTTAAATGTACACAAATTATTAGATAAGTGGCCTTGGATAGGGTTTTCAAACGACAGTTGTCGACTTCCAAATGCCTCTCAGTGTGAAAACTTACATATTCCGGGTTCATTCCTATCTCAACCCTCCCGTAATATGTAGCCTCGTGAGGAACAGGAGATAAATGAGATAGTTAGAGGGGGTAGGGACCCATTGCAGGCTTTAGGGTAATACACTTGAGTTTTTATTGTTAGATTCTAGGTCAATGATCCAATGAGTAAGATTTAAAGCCAACAAAATTGGTGTACATAATATAATATACGAGAGCATAGTAGAATTTGTGGATGATGTATTGCAACCATTTGTCAAAATTAACCATTTGTCAAAATTAAAATACTGTAGATTAAAATGAGATCATACGTTACAATGGAGTGATCAAATTTTACAAACTCAATGCATGGAATAGGAGAAGAGGTTGGCGTTTTGAGTGGTGACACTGACAACTAAGATATTTTTCCAAGAACTTGACTCCAAATGGAAATAGTAAGATGTCAAACTACTTATAAATGTGGGAGTAAACATATGGCCTTATCAGCACGAACAAATACCCCAGATGAAGTTGTCCCGTTGGCCGGAATCGATCACTTGAAATGTTGAAAAGTAAAGAAATAAAGGTTCAATATTTTCTGGAGGGACTAACCTAATTACTTCCTTAAATTGTTCGAGAAATTTGCCAGCATCTTTTTTGAATGATGTAAGGGAGAAATTTTTCAGCATGTGTAATTATACAAGTGAAGGGACACTAAAAAGTATATCATCTGTTCATTTGTATTTTGACAAGCAATGCATCAACCAGCCCCTCAGTAGTAATTTTTATTTTCTTATCAAATATTTTTAGAAGAAATTTCATGAATATACTGTAGATATCAACATAGCATGCAAACTACGTATGTTTAAATAAATCTTCAATTGGATATTCTCATACGATCATGAACCTACGGGAAATCTGACCAAGAGTCAAATACAGATAACTCGGTACAACTAAAAGGAATATTTAAGCAGCTTTATCCTTGTTTAACTTGTTCTCAAGTTTAATTTGTATTTTCTGGAATCAGATGGATGGATTTCCGCACGTCACTCTCACCCTCCACCGCTTTATTCTGAAGAAGATGAGGCTAAGGCCAAGGAGATGGGAACAAATGAGAGCGCCTTTTTTCTTGCTTGGTTGGGGCTCGGCGGCGTCATCCTAGCTCAAGGCCTTCTTCTTGCCGCTTCGGGTAACCTTTCTGTTCATTGTGATTGAATTGATGTGAATCATCCATAACCATGAAGGGGAGGTAGAAGATAGGGGGTAGTTTGCGTATAAAAGTTGGATTCCTAGAAGAGCTTCTCCCTGTAATCCAAATACCACCTCCATATAGGGGATTTAGTTCTGGGACATTAAGGAATTCGATTCTGGATTTTAATTGGGATCCACTTACTTTTTCATTCCCTAAATGTTAGGAAACGCTGGAATCCTTCGGGAGGAATGCGAATCCGTTTCTTTACATTCCATTCCCGTTTGGTAAACACGCCATAAGTGAGAAGTAAAGCAATACACTAGTATATATGCATAGCCAACGGTATCTACCTAGGTATATGTGGCACTCAACCTGATCACTATTGGATAAATATTAACAATCAATGATAAATTTATATATGCTAATAAATAATAAATGCGAATAAATAATTTAACAAAGTATGAACAAAACAAAATAATATTAGATAGACAAATTGAAGATTGAGATTTGCGTACCCCAATGTCTTTGAAACATAAATTTTGTCCCTACTCAGTGTTTGTAGTTCTACGGACGTCTGCTTCATCAGGATTCAACGATCTAAGTCAGAATTCTAGCACCGGAAAACTTGACTTCTGGCGAATTTCTTTGTGGTTCTCTTAGTAAGAATGTTTGGGATTGTAGAAGAAGAATTTTATTTTTTTGTGTTCTAAATGCCATGCAGATTGATGTATATATAATAGGTTTATGCATGTTTACAACAAGTATGAGAATGAGATGGGTATGTTGGGAGACATCCTCTCAGATGGGTGCTTTGCTTTTTGGTATTCTTTCATCACTTCAGACTTCATTTGAAAAGATGAGTCTTGATATAGAAAATAATTAATTAAAGAATTTAATTATTAGAGTCCAAGCCCAAGAGCCCTAAGGCTCAAGGTCCATCTTTTGGTAATTAATTATATATTAATTATCAGTTAATTAATACATCCCAAAGCCCAACTCCAAGGTAGAGCTTAATTTTATTCTTTATGGTCCATCACTCCAATCACTTTCTATAAGGGATAAAGCCTTATAAAGTGAGGGAACCTTTTGGTAGTGACCAATGTGGAACAAAAAAATTTCTACTCAAAATTTTCAAAAATACCCAACATTTGAGTTGAAAATTCATTCAAACACCACCAATTTACTTATAACACCCCACATTTGAATGTAAATGTAAGTGCAAATGTATGATTAGGCTGCCTAAAATTGAGAGAGAATAAACATGATATGCATCGGGTGAAGTGTCTTTTGGACTTGAACTTACCCTAGTGAAAACATATCGGGTTTACTTGGTAACGCAGTTGATGTGGAACATCTTGAACTGTTCATCGCAGTAGTAAACCAAGATAATATGCTACACACATATCATGTTTGCCACATGTCAATTCATACGGTTGTGTTAATTTTGGCTTTGAACATACCCGGATTTCGTAGGAGTTTTAGAGAATTTAGCCATTTCAATTCTCATAAATGTGGCCCCATTTACTTCTATACATGTGACATTAATTAAGAACAGTCTGCCATATTCCTCTTGATAACAAGATATTAATGTCATTAAATGTATAAAACATAACCCCTCAAATTTCAACAAACAACACACATTTTATCATAAGAATGAATAAGTTGTGTGTTCAACTTTTGAATCAAACTCAACCAGTTTGCCTATTGAACCTAGACCATGGGATCTCCAATCAATTAGGTTAGGTTTTTGCCCAGTCTGATTCTTTGAATTGGCTTGAGACCCATTCCCCTCGATGTAAATAATATTTGCTCTCTTTGTAGGCCTTTTTTCAAGGGATCATCTATATTTTCCATTAACTTTACATAATCAATGGATATTATTCCATTGAAGAGCAAATTCTTAAGAGTATTATGCCGACGCCTGATGTGTCGCGATTTTCCATTGTAGACATGACTTTTGGTCTTTGATTGTGCGGCCATACTACCACAATGTATACATATACATATAGTAGTTACAGGCTTTGGCCACACTGGAATATCCTCCGAAAAATGTTTAAGCCACTCGGCTTCTTCTCCACCAAGTCTAAAGCTATAAACTCTGACTCCATGGTGGAATGAGCTATACATTTCTGTTTAGAGGATTTCAAAGATATTGCTGCACCTCCCAAGGTAAAAACATATCCATTTGTTGACTTGGATTCAGTAGTGTCAGAAATCCAATTAGCATCACTGAAGCCTTCTACAACAGGTGGATACTTTGTATAGTGTAATCCGTAGTCAAGTGTATTTTTCAAATACCTTAACACTCTGTAGACATCTAAATTTTGGTGAAATAAATGTTGATCAATAATTAAAATTTCAATGTTCACGTGTCACATAAATTTTACACGTAGCATGTAACTCAACGAAAAATAAAAAATCATCGAAAAAGTCATCAAACAGGACACATGTCAACACCTGACAAAAATGATTTATTTCATCTGATTATTTAAATCCAGAAAAAATCAAGTTTTGGAATTCTATAAATAGAAAGCCAAGGCATTCATTTTGGGGTACCAATTCACATCACACCGAAACCTTGAAGCTTTGAAACTCTAAAGCTCTCAAGCAAATCTCGAAGGATCAAGAAAGCCCTCTTTGTTCTTCGTCAAATCCTCCTTCAAGATCAAGCCCCGACGAACCTTGAAAAACTTCTACCAATTCAAGATCAAGCCCTGACAGCCCTTGAAGAAAGTGTTCATCGTTCATCATCCATTCATCCTAAGATCAAGCCCCAACGACCCTTTAGATCAACAAATCCACACATCCATTCTTCAAGATCAAGCCCAAAAGCCCCTGAAGATATGTTCATCCTCAATCTTCAAGATCAAGCCTCGAATGCCCTTGAAGAAACTTCCATCAACTTTCAAGCCCTGAAGGCCCTTGAAGAAACTTCCCTTAACCTTCAAGATCAAGCCCTGAAGGCTCTTGAAGAAACTTCCCACCGTTCATCCAAGATCAAGCATCGATGACCCTTGGATCAATAAAACATCCACAAATCTACATCTTATGGAGATCGAATAAGAGGATTAAACTATAAAGAGATTGTCACCCCAAAATCATTAATACAAAATATTATTTTGTACACATGTTCTTGTCTCGTTTCATCGCAGGAAAATTCGTGTTTACACACTCTTACTAAAGCATCCCAATGCTCTTGTCCTAGATTACTTGTATATCTACTAAGCCTACTTACTGCATGAGCTAAGTCAGGCCTAGTCGAATTCATCAAGTACATTAGACTTCCAATTACTTGAGAATATTCAAGTTGAGATATGGCATTGCCTTTATTTTTCTCCAACTTACATCCAACATAAAAAGGAGTTACAGCAGGTTTGCAATCAAATTGACCAAACCTTCGTAATATTTTTTTTCCGCATAATGGGACTATGTAAGTACATACCCTTCGCTATTTCTCTTAATTTGAATTCCTAGAATGACATCGGCTTGACCTAAGTCTTTCATGTCAAAACTTGAATTCAACATTTTCTTTGTTTTGGTTTTTACATCTTTATTAGTTCCCATTATGAGCATATCATCCACATACAAGCTGACAATAACGCAAGTTTTATCATTACACTTAATGTAGACACATTTATCATATTCATTTATTTTGAACCTATGTGTCAATAAAGTATGATCAAATTTCTCGTGCCATTGTTTTGGTGCTTGTTTAAGTCCATATAATGACTTAATTAATTTGCACACTCTGCTTTCTTATCCTTTAAGCACGAACCCTTTAGGTTGTTCCATGTATATTTCTTCATCCAGTTCCCCATTTAAAAATGTTGTTTTTACATCCATTTGATGTATATCAAAGTTCTACATAGCCGCAATCGCTATTAACGTCCTAATTGACGTTATGCGAGAAACTGGAGAATAAGTGTCGAAATAAACCAAACCTTCCTTTTGGCAATAACCTTTGGCTACTAAACGTGCCTTGAATTTGTTATTGGTTCCATCCGCCTTAAGTTTCTTCTTGAAAATCCATTTATGACCAATTGGTTTACTACCGGGAGGTAAATTAACCAATTCCTATGTGTTATTTTCCATAATAGATTCCATTTCACTTTTAATTGCTTCCTTCCATAAATGAGCCTTAGAAGAAGACATTGCTTCTTTAAAAGTTCTAGGTTCATTCTCGGACAAGTAAGCAATGAAATATGGTCCAAAGTTTTTAAAAACTTTGATTATTTTTCCTCTTTTTGATTCCACATCATTATCTTGGACACCTAAAGAAGAGGCTTCATCATGACTTTGATCATGAATCCTTTTTGTATTAGAACCCGATTCCTTTTCTTTGTAAGGAAATATATCCTCAAAGAATTATGCATCTGCCGATTCTAATATAGTGTTAACATGAATGTCATAAATTGAAAATTTTACAAGAAGGAACCTATAAGCAGCACTATTGTTTGCATATCCAATGAATACACAATCAATAGTTTTAGGTCCTAGTTTCATTCTTTTTGGTAATCGAACTTGCACTTTTGCTACACAACCCAACATTTTGAGGGTTTTATAAGTGGGTTTATGTCATTTCCATAGTTCATAAGGTGACTCGTCAATCTTCTTTTGAGGAACCATATTCAATATGGTATTTGCAGTAAGTAAAGCTTCACCCTAAAACTGTGTGGAAGCCCAAACCTATTTAACATGGAATTAATATGGAGTTGTTGTTTGATGTATAATTCCATGTTGTGCACAAAAATATGAGAAGACAGTAAACTCATACTCTCATCCTCTATTGGATCTAAGTGCTTTGATTTTTCTCTCAAGTTGATTTTCAACTTCAGCTTTATATGTCTTAAACATATTCAAAGCTTTGTCCTTACTATGAATCAAATAAACATAGAATACTTACTGCAATCATTAATAAAAGTGACATAATAATTCTTTCCTCCACGAGTTGGTGTGGATTTAAAGTCACGAAGATCACTATGAATTAATCCAAATAATTCATTTTATCTTTCTAGAATTGACTTTCTAGTTTGCCTAGCAAATTTGGATTCAGTACATGTCTCACACTTATGATTAAAATCAATTTCGAATTTAGGTAATAA